GGTGTGAGGATGTACGGTTATAGTCAAGAGTACAATCATAACGTATGTAGTGACTATGTACTCTTGGTATAGTGGATGGCTAGTAGCAAGAGTACATAACGTACATTGTATGTACTCTTGGTATAGTGGATGGCTAGTAGCAAGAGTACATAACGTACATTGTATGTACTCTTGGTATAGTGGATGGCTAGTAGCAAGAGTACATAACGTACATTGTATGTACTCTTGGTATAGTGGATGGCTAGTAGCAAGAGTACATAACGTACATTGTATGTACTCTTGGTATAGTGGATGGCTAGTAGCAAGAGTACATAACGTACATTGTATGTACTCTTGGTATAGTGGATGGCTAGTAGCAAGAGTACATAACGTACATTGTATGTACTCTTGGTATAGTGGATGGCTAGTAGCAAGAGTACATAACGTACATTGTATGTACTCTTGGTATAGTGGATGGCTAGTAGCAAGAGTACATAACGTACATTGTATGTACTCTTGGTATAGTGGATGGCTAGTAGCAAGAGTACATAACGTACATTGTATGTACTCTTGGTATAGTGGATGGCTAGTAGCAAGAGTACATAACGTACATTGTATGTACTCTTGGTATAGTGGATGGCTAGTAGCAAGAGTACATAACGTACATTGTATGTACTCTTGGTATAGTGGATGGCTAGTAGCAAGAGTACATAACGTACATTGTATGTACTCTTGGTATAGTGGATGGCTAGTAGCAAGAGTACATAACGTATGTACTCTTGGTATAGTGGATGGCTAGTAGGGAGGTTCTGCTATACGTGAAACGTAGAGAAATCACGTAGAGAGCAGGTGTCTGGGTTAGAGTCTACGGCTTCGCGTGTTTTGGCTCCAGATTTCTACGCGGAGATGGGGTTCTCTACGTTGTGGCACACGCAGAGAAAATGCGTACGGATTTGCTGGGTATCGATCAACTGCATGCAGAAAACTGCCAAATATGGAAGGGGAAATTCCCAGTACACATTCCACGTGACTTCTCTTTTTTTTTTTTTTTTTTTTTTTTCCTGGGATAAGTAAAATCAGTGAGCATGTCATGAAAATAAATCCGAGAAGAAAGAAAAAGGCCCAACCCTGCCCTGCCAGTTATTTGGACTTATGGGGGTCGCCATGGCAAATAATAAATAACTTCTCTAGGTGAAACGTAGAGCAGAACAGCATTTCTTTACGTTACGGGAACGCGAAGAAAGTTCGCGTGATTCTTTGCGTCGCGTTCCCAAAACGTAGAGCAGAACCTCCCTATTTCTACGCGGAGATGGGGTTCTCTACGTTGTGGCACACGCAGAGAAAATGCGTACGGATTTGCTGGGTATCGATCAACTGCATGCAGAAAACTGCCAAATATGGAAGGGAAAATTCCCAGTACACATTCCACGTGACTTC